TTTAATTTGAATTTTATGAATAAAAAATAGGTAAAATAAAAAAACATTTCATTAATCGTAATTACGCACTTGCTGGTACTGGGGGGATAAATGAACCAAATTAACTGCGAGAGCTATCGACGTGATATTATATCCTGTTGTTCTGCAACTAATTGCTTGGATATTGATTATGTTAGTGGTTTCGATGGTCTTATTAGCGGTTGAGTGTACCTCCCGAAACTCGTAATCGTAACCAGGATTACCTCATTAACAATCTCTATACGCTAAAGCCTTCTGATAAAGAGACAGAGAGGGAGACAGAGGAGAAATTATCGTGTGCGAAATATTTTTCTTTTTTTTTCTATTTAAAAAAAAAAAAAAAAAAAAAAATTCTCCAACACTCTTTATTAAAAAATCTCCTTTTATATTAATAATTAATTATCATTAAAAATTTAATGCACTTTATTTTATAAAAATTTTATATTCTATAGAAAGAATGATTATTGTATTATTATTATTATTGTAATCTGAATAAAAGGAATTTTTAATATTTCCATTTACTTTAAAGTTTTAATATTGACTTTTTTTTCCAAACGAATAAATTATTATTTTTTTTTTTTTTTTTGAAAAAAAAGGAAAAAACGAGTTCTTTTAAACAAAATATTTTTTTTTAATTTTAATTTATTAAATTAAAAAACTGTTAACAATTAAAAAAAATTCTATTAAATAAAAGAAAGTGTTTTTTAAATATTTTCATTAAAAATTAGAATTTTTTTTTCAATATACAAAAAAGAGAGAGAGAATTTTTTTTTATAAAAAAAAAAGAATAGAATATTTTATAACAAAAAAAAAGGGCAGAAAAAAATGTTTTTTACCAGGATTATTATTTGAAAAAAAAGAATAGAATATTTTATATACGATAAAAAATAGGGAAATTTTTTTTTTTTTTTTAATATTTATACAAAGAAGAAGAAGAAGAAGAAGATGATGACAAAAGTAGAAAGAGTCAATATTGCTTTCAATTTGAAGTTGTGGTGTATGTGTATGTGTTCACTTAATATTTGCAATGGATTTACATGCCTCTGTATATGTTTATTTAGTTATGGAGAAAAGCGGGCAACCGTACGCTTGAAAGGGGTTACATTTTCAAGGGGCGACAGGTTGTTGGTTGAACAGAATATCAAACTGGGCGACCTTTATAATTTATATTCCTCACGGTTCAGAGTCGAAAGTGATATAACGCTTCTATGGTCGCTTTTTGAATTTTCCAAAGAACGAAAAATGGGTCCATTTGTAAAAGAAAAAATTCCAAAAAAAAAAAAGGAAAAAGAATTTTTATATAAAAAAAAATTATTATAACCAATAAGAACAATTATTATATAAAATTAGAAAAAATAATAAATAAATAAATAATAATTAACTGTAATAAATTAATAAAAAAATATATTTATATTGAAATTTTTATTATTGAAATTTTTATATTCAAAAATTTTGATATAGTAATAATAAATTTTCGGTTCTTTTTCCAAATGCAAAAAAATTGTCTATATATATATATATATATATATATATATATATATATATATTGATAAAGTTTCATTATCTTAAACGGTTAGATAAGCGCACCCCCAAGGCTTATTAATTCCTTCGTGACCAACGGTCTCTTAAGTAATAATTGCATTCCGCAAGGTACCTGATCAGAGTATATGATTAAATTTCGAGATTACCCTGGAAACTGCGATAATTTACTTATATTAAACATATAGTTGAAAATAAAATCAATTATAATTTCATTTTTCACAATTATTTTATAAGGATTAATTATTATTTTATTTTTTCCGCAAACAGAAAAAAAGTGCATAAAATTAAATTTCAAAAATTATTATTTCAATTATTATATATTTATAGTATCAAATTATATTCATCTAATTTCATACAATAATTGGGATCAATTATATATTCAACTTAATTAGGTTTATTCAATAATTAGTATAGCAATTAACATTATATCCAAATAATATTATAGAAATAGTAAAATAATTTTAATATTAATTGATATTAATATTAATAATTATTTAATTATTAATATTAATATAATAATTATTATTATTTAATTATTAATATTAATTAATAATAATATTAATAATTAATATAAAATAAAATTAAATAATTGATATAATCAACAGTGAAAAAAAATTTGATTCAAATATTCGATTACTTGACTATTATCCAATAAATATTTAATTGAACCAGATAATTTTTATTTGAATTAAATAAATTTAAACCAATAAATTCTGTATTCGAAAAAAAATTTCGATTTAATTGACTTAAATAATAATAATTATTTTTTAAGACGCCGCGAATTTCTTATTTGTCCGAAATTACAAATGTCCGAACAAATAATCGATTTCGGCGCTATTTTTAAAATTGGCCGAAATTTTTATGTTCTTTTGTCTGTTCAGGCATTTGTGATTTCGAACAAATGAAAATTCTATCAATTTTAAAAATTCGTATACAAATAAAAATTCGTGCAAGTAAAATTTCGGATAAATAAAAATTCATACAAAAAAATATTCGGACAAATAAAAATTCGTACAAGTAAAAATTCGGACAAATAAAAATTTGTACAAATTAAAATTCGATGATACTTGTTATAAATAAAAATTCGGTATAAAAAGAAAATTCCATCAAATGTTTTTTTTGAAAAATTTTTCTAAAAATTATTTCACCAATAAAATTTTGTAAAATAAAAATTAAAACTAATTTTTATGGTTTAATTAATGCGCTCCATTATTTGAATTCAATAATTTTTTTTTTTTTCAGTGAATCATTTAATTTTGAAAAAAATTTTTAATTAGTATTTAGAAAAAAAAATAGTTTTTATTCAATGTTAGAAATTTTGTAAAAAAAAAAAAAAAAAAACAAGACAATGGAATTTAAGAAAAGAACATAGAAGGAAAAATAAACAAAGAAAAATGTACTCGAAGAAAAAGGAAATCGAATTTACGGAAAAATACAAAAATTGAAGAAGTATAAGGAGAAAAAGAAATGAATTTCTTCGATCGAAAAATAAAAAAATAAAAAATCTACTTTCTATTGAGAAATTTTGTAATGAACGAATAAAGTTAAATTTTGTGACATTATAACGAAAAGGATCTGTACTCTCTTTTATAGACAGATGACCTCCGTCTTATGACAGTTAATGGACGTGTTGAACTAATGGACTTTCTCAATATATATATATATATATATACACCTAACGTTATATATTTTTTTTTCTTCAAATACGTGACTGCTGAGAAATGATGACAAAATGTCAATGGTTCGAAACTATATATCTGAATCGTGCGCGCCCGCGAACTTTTATTCCAAAAAGGAATTTTCTCTCAAAGAATCATAAAACGCTATCAAGATCAGGAAGTACTATTTTCTCTATTAAATAAACATTGATCTTTGCAGCAAACACACACACACACACACACAATTCTGATATCAAATCTAATTTTCCATTTTCTCTTTTAAAAAAAAAATTCATCAAAAGTAATTTTTTTCATATATATATATATCTCTAAATTTCCATAAATTGAGCAAAAAAAAAAAAAAAAACTTTTTTTGGCTTCTGCAGTCTTCTCGTGATATTAAAAAACTTTGTTATTCGACTTGAATTTTTTTTTTTCGCTATTTTTATGGTTTCAGTTTCTTTTTTTCTGATGATGAGTAAAAAAAAAAAAAAAAGGGTTCAAATGTTATAACAGTTGATTATTGGAGTTTGATTACCCCCCTCAATGATACCTGTATGGAAGCTATTGTGATTGCTATATATTCCAAAAAAAAAGAGAGTTTTACGAATGAATTCTGTTGCAAAAGCGCATAGTATCCAGTGAGAGGGAAAAAAAGGAGAAAAAAAAAAAAATTCCGGAAAACCTTTTCTAGAACCTCCTGACTCGCGCAGCATGCATATGTATGCATATATATTGTGTATACATGTGCTTCATATACATGTTTGTTTCGTTTGATTGCAATGTTCCACTTTCATCAATTTCGATTGGACATTGACGATTGAACGCGTCTGTATAGTATATATATATATATATATATATATATATATATGAAAACGATCGAAAAACTTCATGTCATTGCACCAAATGAAGAAAGTTTCAACTTTTAGAGAGAGAGAGAGATATATATATAGAGATCACAGTTCACAAAAGCAATTTCTACAGCTTACAATATGTGACAACTTTCATACTAGCATTTTTTCATATCATATAGATTTTTTAATCCACTCTACTTCCTCAATTTTTCCATTATATGTACGAATTTTTTTTTTCTTCTATTTGCAATTATTTGAATTCTTAAAAAGATTCTATCGTATAAATTACCTTATAACAAAAAAATTTATTTAATTCAAATAATCGACTATTATCAAAATTAATATTACCAAAATAATTTTTATTTGAATCAATTAAAAAAAATTTTTTTTTTTTAAATATACAGAAATTTGGTTCAAATACACAGAAAAAATCTAGTCTCATTTTTGTTGCAACTCAAAATGAGCAACTAATAAACGACATAGACAGTGGCGCCACCAATCTGGTTTCAAAAATTATTTGGTTCAAGTAAATATTTATTTTATTTCACGGAAAAAAATATTTACCTGAAATAGCGATATGTTTCACTAAAATAGTAAAAGTTTCGATATTTTAAAGAAATATATCGCTATTTTAGGTATAAAAATTTTTTTTTCTATGTTATTTATGTTAAATTAAATTTTTAATTAGCAACAAAAAAATAATATTATTATTATATTTATTATAGGTAATGCCACAGTAATTCGTAAAAAAAAAAATAATAATAATAATCAATGAAATTAATTATTTTATAATCGAAATTAAAAAAAAAAAAAATATTAAGAAAGTCTGACTAAACATTTACTTCTACTACTGATGAAATTACAATAATATTAATAGAGTCTGATTAAAGGTTGACTTGTACTACTGAAAAAATTTACAAACTCTAAGAAAGTCTGACTATAAATTTATTCTTTTACTACTGATTTTCTAATTTAATCATTATTTCTGATTAAAACTAATGACAAAAATTAATTATTTTATAATCGACGTTTGTGTTTAGCCAAAACTTTAATTCTAGGTGAACACCAAGCTTTTAATGCTGTTGGAGAAACATCAAAGGCATTGTCTTTTAAGTCAGTTTCCCTTCCCGGTGGTCTGTTTGGCGGTCTTGCAAGAATGTTTATTCGGTCATTAGCTATTTAAAAATTAATATCAAGAATTATTATTCATTTTTAACTATTATTATTAATTAATTAATTAATTAATAATTTTTTATAAATTATCATTATTATCGATGTTCTTTTTGTTATTATTATTATTATTATTATTATTATTATTATTATTATTATTATTATTATTATTATTATTATTGTTATTATTTGTTGTTGTTGCTGTTGTTATAAAATATTGTTTATTATTTTTAAAAATTAATGATTAATTAATAAATTTTAAATGAAATAATTCCCTTTTTTTTAATTACCCTCATACATTAATGCGGCTATTGAAACTTTTCCAGGAATACGAGGTTCTATGTAAATTCGGGGATAATTTCGATAAGCAAGTTCTTTCATTCTATCGGTCAGTTCATAACTAAGAGCACTTGATTTAACTTTAAAGGCATTTTTCTTTGATGGCGCTTCTCTAGCAATTGGTTGGGACAATTTTTCAACTCTTGCTGAATCATATAATTTTTTTTTTCTCGATTTCTTTAAAGGCTAAAAGCGATTAAAAAATTGTTTTTTAAAATATAATATTTTCTCTTGAATTTTTCATTACTAAACTATTTTATATCAAAGTAGCATTTTCTATATATAGTTTTGTAAATAGAAAAAAAAGACAATAAGTGAAAAATTATATATATATATATATATATATATATATATATATATAAAGGGAATGTTCATATATGAAAAATTCCTCCCTTTTTCCCTCGTGAAAAAGTTTGCGACAAAATAACTTTTAAAACTTTTGGAACTGCAATTTTTAAACTATTTTTTCTTTTTTACTATATATATATATATATATGGCATCAAATAATATTTTATGTGTTTAAAAATTCTGTGAATGGTTTTGAACATTCCCGCGTATTATATTAATAATAAAAATAACAATAGAAAAAAATAATAATAATAAATAAATAATAATAATAAAATAATAATAATAATAATAAAAATACTAATAATTGTTGTGAAATCTGTTTTCCTTTCGGTTTTGCGAGTCTTTCTAAAACTTTATTGTGCCTCTCCCAATCGGATGGTTTTTCTAAAAATCTTTTCAATTTCTTTTTCCAAACATTCCTAATAGGGAAATTTTAATTAGAAAAAAATTATCGAAAAATTTAATAAAAAAAAAAAACTAGTCTAATTAATTAATATAAAATCAGGAATAAATTAATATTTTTAATATTCAACTCAACTTCTCTCCATCAATTTAGGTAAAATGATAATTTTTATTATAATTATAATAATATTAAAATAATTTTCATTATACAAAAAAAAAATTTATTTGATTCAAATAATCGTCTCACAGAAAATTAAAAGGCATTAAAATAAGCTGCAACGCTTCTTATTTTAATCCAATTTTTGCTTATTTTAATACCTAAAATGGATTAAAATAAGCAAAATTGGATTAAAATAAGAAGCGTTACAGCTTATTTTAATGCCTTTTAATTTTCTATGCTATTATCAAATAAATATTTAATCGAACCAAATAATTTTTATTTGAATTAACTAAATTTGAATCAATAATTTCTTTAATAGGAACAAATACAATTTATTTAATTCAAATAAAAATTATTCGATTCAAGTAAACATTTATTTAAATATTGAATAATATTTATAGTCGATTATTTGAATTAAATAAATTTTTTTTCATTTATAATAAAAATGAAAATAATTCTTATTATAGTTATAATGATTTTATAATAATTTTATTATAAAAATTATTCCAAACGCGGTTTTAACAAAAAAAAAATAATTTTTTTTTTTAATGTATAACATGCCCTTAATATTGAGAGGAAAAACTATATTTTTTATATATAGTATATATATACTGATTTGTAAAATGGCGACGAAATGGTATTGACGGGGGAATTGAAGAATTGTCTAAACGGGTTGGAAAAATAGATAAGAAAAGTTGGAAGATTCGTTTTCCCGATCTCTGGTTTGAAATGGGCTTTTCATGAGGAAGTCCCTTGACAAAATGAATGAAGGAGAGCAGTCGAGCGAAAGCGAACTGGAAACTCTCTCGCATACTCCCTGGCGAATGCTTGCTGATGGAGTGTGTTGCAAATAAGTCGATACTTTTGGTATCTCGATTTGCGAATTTCAAGTGAAATTTTATTTATATATTCCATTTTCGTTTTATTTTCAAAAAACAATTTTCGTATATGATTCACTGCACTGCAAAAAAAAAAAAGCCATCGTTTAAAAACTACAAATTTCAAAATCCTTATTTATTATTTTTAATAATTAATTAATTATCAATTTATTTATTATTAATTAATTTTTTTTATTAATAATTTTATTATTAATTTAAATAAAATTTTTTCCTAACTGATAAAATAATTTTTTTTTAAAAATGAAATTTTAAGACAATTAGGAAAATTTGAGGAAAATGAGATGTAGAAACTTGAAATGTCAGTTTGTGTTTAAGTGTAGAATATATATATATATATATATATATGTATATAACGATTGGATGGAAGCTGACTTTCAAAAGACATGCACGTGTGATATGCACATTGTAAGTGCCTCATTTGCGAAACTACTTCTAATGTCACGTTCTATAATGTCACTTGGTCTTGGAACTGCGATGAGTTCCAAAGTCACTTGGAGGAACATCGTCACTCCACTTAGGCCAATGGCGACAGTTACTTCAAGTTTCGGAAAATTGTTTTGTGCGCGACCCCATTTTCTATAAACGCACTAAAACTAAAACCAATACCCCTTTTATCTTCTATTTACTAATTTCAAAGTAAAATTAAAAAAAAAAAAAAAAAAAAACTGAAAAATAATAATATAAAATTCATTTTTATGCAATTTATAATTATTTTTATATAATAAAATAATTTTTATACAAAAATATAAAAATCAAAATTTTTTTTAAAATAATATTTTTTTATAAAATAATAAATAAATTATTATTATTTTATAACATAATAAAATAATAAATAATTTTCATACAAATATAAAATACTTTTTTTTTTAAATATACAACTAATTTAAATTATTATTTTTAGTTATTATTTTTATTTATTATTATTATTATTATTAATATTATTATTATTATTATTATTGTAAATTATTTATTAATATAAATTAATTTTTATATTATTCTATAAAAATTAATATAATATGGGATTTGAAAAATATGAGAATAATTTTCAATAATAATAATAATAATAATAAAAATACCTTTTTTGGGGAAGGGAAAGATCCTTTATTCGATTACTTGCTTTGGCATTCAACGCCGCTGGAGGGACCTTGAAATATATCAGGGATTTCTTTCTAAACGACATTAATATTTTATTGACAAATTCTGAAACTATTTATCTATATATAGTAAGCAAAAAAAAATATATATATATTTTTTTGCTCCCCCGACTAAATTCCTTACGCAGGATCATATTTCTTATTAATAGACTTTGGCTTTGCCATGATCTTAATGCGTTTTGTGGGATGAAACTTCAAGGCTGCTCTAGACACGGTAAATGGATGCTCCTATGTACAATTAAAAAGCAAATTATAGTCAAACTTTCAAAAAGAAAAAAAAATTTATAATAATTACCTAATTAAAAGTTTAATGAGAAAAAAAAATAAATACTAAAAATATAAACTAACAAAAGGGAAATAAAAAGGAAAAAAATTATGAAAATATTAGTAATAATAATATAATATATTATTATTTGTAATTATAATAATTACCTAATTAAAAGTTTAAATCGAAAAAAAACAATGAAAATATAAACTCTAACGAAAGAGAAATAAATGGAAAAAAGAAGGAATTATTATTATTATTATTATTATTATTATTACTATTATTAATACAGTATATTATATTAATATTCGTAATTATAATAATTAACTAATTTAAAAAAAATCGAAAAAATAAACAGTGAAAATATAAACTAACCAAAAATTAAAAAGGAGAAAAAAAAGATTGAAAAAACTTTATAATAAACTCACTAAAATGTTAATATCTTTTTGTAAATGTATCTGTAATGGACGTGCGAGCAATGCAATGTGTTTTCTTCGAGAAAGATGCGCCCGAGCGTACTTAACCCTTTTTGATACCATTTTTACATCGACTATCTCTTAACACAATTTTCAAATCCTGTCTCTTATCTTTGTCGATTTAAAGTGCAATTTCGTATATAAATATATATGATACTTTTCTACGAAAGCTCATCCGGATTATCATAAAAAAACATCGTTTTTAACTTTAAATACAGAAAATTTCAAAACATTTTTATAAAAAGAAAATTTCACTTGACCATTGCCAAGTTGGAAAACTTAAAAAAAAATTTTACACTGCGAGAGAAAATGCCATATTTCCCAATGATAGATGAGCAACGTTCAAGAGGAAGAGAAAGAGTGAGAAAAGGGGGAGAAAAAAAAAATTGAAGGTACGAAAAGGTCCGCCAAGAAGTTTGCTCAGATCTTTCTCATATAGATCATTAAGATACGTCAACTGTTAATGGGATTGCCAATGGGATTCGTTCGTTCAAGAAAAAGCGATTTTAACTTTTGAAATATCCAATTTTTTATTTTTTTTATTTTTTTTTAATCTCCGCACTTTATTATATTAATTCATTTTTTTTCTCGATTTTATTTTTAAAAAAACTAATTTTTAAATGTATTTTTTTTTTAATATACGGATTTTAGAACCTGATGTCGAAAGTATGATTAAATAAATTTTGCCTGAAGCTTAATGAAAATGTAAATTATTAGTATATATACGAATTGAATTGAACTCGAAATATTTTTTTATAAAATTACTCGCGATGCAAAGTTTATATATATATAAAAATTATATACATATTTAAATGTGATAAAATAACAGAGAAAAATTAATTCCTTTTCTGTGAATACAAATTTTTTTTTCGTTCCTATTTTTCAAAAAATCAAATAAAAATTTTTTAATTATACTATATAAATTAATATAGACAATTATAATTTCTCTGAATTTGTATGACGCCGAATTTTCATTTGTCCGAAATTACAAATAGTCGAACAAACAATTGACAGAAAGAGATTTCGGCGCGATTTAAAAATAGCGCCAAAATCGATTATTTGTTCTGTAAAGGCGCTCTCACACCTTTTTGGCTGCCTGCAGGTTACCATGGCAACGCATGAGAGTGAGTGCGACAGAAAAATTTAAAAATTTGAATATTCAAATTTTCTGTCTCACTCACACTCGTGCGATGCCATGGTAACCTGCAGGCAGGCAGGTAGCCAAAAAAGGGTGTGAGTGCGCCATAATAATTTCGGACAAAAATTTGGCGCCTTAAAATTTCTATTAATTAAAAATTCGTACAAATTAAAATTCTGCCAAAAAATCAGTATAGCTAAAAATTTTATTAATAAAAATTAGTATAAAAAAAATTAATTCGAAAAATGAAAATTCGTAATTTGGGAATTTTTATTAATTTAAAGAAGCTTTAGGATCAAAAAAAAAAATTAAATTGGATCTTTCAGTGGGGCATGGGAGGAGGTGGAGGATTTTTGCAATTGTGATGTAACGAGTAGTGAGAGTTCAATTTTAGTGATGTTTTCACGTAGAGATTTAACGATTATTGCCGCACCCTTACTTTTCACATGAGCTCAAATTGTCCCAGGACTGTCTCAGGATCTATATATATATGTATATATAGTAGAGAGAGAGAGAAAGAGAGACGGGCAAAGGCGCAAGCAATTTCAATGGGTCTTTATGTTTGAAACGCGCAAGGCTTTACTTTCCAGTTGTTGCCACCGGTCGCTTACATCTCCTACGAACCAAAGTCATTACTTTTCTAACGACCCGTTTTCCAAGAAAATGGATTTCCCTCCGCTTGTACTATATATATATGCTGCGCATTCCCCCCTCTCCCCCCCCAACGATATTCTTGTCTATTTCTTCTTTAACAATATATATATATAGCACTCACGATGCTATGAAAAAGATACAAGAAATTGCATCATAAACTTTGAATTGAACGAGGTGAGTAAAAGCGACAAATTTCTACCTTATGGATGATGGATTTCGCTATTTTATACTGAGATTAAATTGTTTCAGACATGGTATAATACTGTGTTTTATAAAATAAAAACACAAAAAAAAGTCAAGATTTCTAAATGTTTATCCGCAAAGATTTTTTTTTTTTTTTTTACTTATAGGAAATTTTTCTTTTCTTTTTACTGCGCTAATGTGTCTGACCAAAAAACTGACTTGTACTTACTAATATAATTATAGAAAGATTGACTAAATATTGACTCGTACTACCTCTGACAAAATTACGAAAACGTTATATATTAAGAGAACCTGATTAAATATTAACTTGTACCACTGACAAAATTAAAGAAACACAAAAATATTATGAAAATATGACTAAATATTGACTTGCATTACTGGAAAAATTACCAACATTAAAGGGAGTCTGACTAATCATTGACTTGTATCACTGGCAAAATTAAAAACATTTGTAAAGTCTTTCTAAATAATTGAATATTGACTTGTACTACTGAAAAAAATTACAAACATAAAAAGTCTGATTAAACATTGACTTGTACCATTGACAAAATTACAGAAACACAAAAACATTAAGAAAATATGACTAAATATTGACTTGCATTACTGGAAAAATTACCAACATTAAAGGGAGTCTGACTAATCATTGACTTGTATCACTGGCAAAATTAAAAACATTTGTAAAGTCTTTCTAAATAATTGAATATTGACTTGTACTACTGAAAAAAATTACAAACATAAAAAGTCTGATTAAATATTGACATGTACCACTGACAAAATTACAGAAACACAAAAATATTAAGAAAATATGACTAAATATTGACTTGCATTACTGGAAAAATTACCAACATTAAAGGGAGTCTGACTAACTATTGACTTGTGCCACTGGAAAAATTAAAAAAAAATATTAAGAAAGTCTGACTAAACATTGATTTCTACTACTGACAAAATTACAGGGGAAAAACTTTAACAGAGTTTGACTAAATGTTGACTTGTACTACTGAAAAATTTACAAACGCTAAGAAAGTCTGACTAAATTTATTCTTTTACTACTGATTTTCTAATTTAATCATTATTTCTGACTAAAACCAACTTTATCTACTATAATGCCAAAAATTAGATAGTTTGACTAAATATTTTCTTTACCCAAGAGGCGATAAAATTATATTAAATTATTTTTGAAATGCATAATTACCATTTTTAAAATTATATCATCATTTTTTTTGTCTGTGTACAATTAAAATATTTACAAATGTTTAATAATAATAATAATAATAATAATAATAATAAAAATAGTAATAATAAAATAATAATAATAAAAATAATAATAATCGAGTTTAGTAAAAGAATACAAAAATTCATTTAAAAAAATATTTATTTATAATAGAGAAAAAAAACACTTTTCTTAAAACCGATAAAATCCGAAAAGTGCAACAACGAAGCATGTAAAACACATATATGAAGAGAGTGCAATTTTTTTCAGTTCTCTTGTATATAAAAGCGAGTATGAATTATATTATTCATTCTTAAAAGGTTATGCATAAGAATGTACAAGCATATATATATATATATATATATATATATAGACAGTGTTCACGTCATGGCTGAGATATAAGTCCAGATGGAAGAAAAATATTATTCACCTGAATCCTTTTATCGGAAGATCTATTTTTCAGAGTTAATATATACATATAGAATGAGCTTGGAAACGTGAGGGACTGTCAAAAGTGAAAATGAATAAGAGAGGAGGACAAAAAAGAGAGAGAGAGAGAGAGAGAGAGAAATGAGCGCGCGACCCAATATTACGGAAAAGATAAATCTGATTGAACTGATTTTAACTTTCACTAAAGAGCTTTAAAATCAATTAAATAAAAAAAAGAAAGATATTTAAATAAATGGAAAATAGTAATTTTCTTTTTCAAAGTGAAAATTTGTTATATAATACAAAATATATAATACTGAAACATTCATAGCTTAAAAGCTAATACGCGCGGTACTGTTTGATTAAGAATTATTGCTTTCATAATATGATGTAGGGCATTCACATATACACCTCGTTATCATAAAATTACATGCGCTCTAAAATTTTATATGCAAATTTACATTGACTCTAGATTTTCCCTGTTTCAATCAAATTTTGTTTTTTTTTTTTTTAATGCAAATACAATATATATTTCAAATAAACAAATAGGTTAAAATTTAAATGAAATAATTTTTTATCAGTTTATATAGAGGAGTATAATTTTCTATATGATGTTTCGCGGTATATAATAAATTTATATACACATGGAAGGACCATCTGTTCTGGTGACACTTTAAGCTTGAATAGGGTCGTTTTCTCTGTATAGCTTTTACCAAACGAGACTTTTTCTTTTCTTTAGAGATTCCATTCGTGCAAGGACCCGCGCGCTCGCTATATATATATATATATACCTATACATACCATCTAACTGTGAACGTGATTTGTAAACCGAACGGGTAACAATTTCCGGATGAGTGCATTCTAATGAAATTCTCTTATTCCTTTCTAAAATAAGCATCACACTTTCGCGAACCTTAATTAATCCCCTTGTTATTTATATATACTCGACTTTTTCCTTTTTCTTTCCTTTCTTTTTTTTTTTTTTTGATAAAAGAATCAACCGCAAAATAGTTTTTTCCGTTGGAGGAGAAAAAAAAATGCAACATTTTTTTTAAGGAAAATTAAAACAAAATTTATTTGATTCAAATAATTGCGGTTACTTGACTATTAGCAAATAAATATTTATAATTATTATTTTTACGTAACTAATAATGTTTTTACTAATTTCTAAATTTTTGACGCTTTAATTGAGGAAAAATATATATTATTTATTTCAAAGATGAAAAAATTTATTTGATTTAGAGATAAAAAATATTACTTGGCAAAAATATTTATTTGGGTAGAAAAGAAGTGAATTGAAAAGAAAAAAATTATAGCCGCATAGAGAAAACAAAAAGTAAATTGAAATTTGTTTTCAATACACGAGACTAAATTTTTTTCTAATGTGCATTTTTTATGAGGATACATGCTTGTAGATCTTATTAACCAACAATTCACGAATCTCCGTTTCGTCAATCTCGCATGGGAAATCTCAGATTCGAGTCTGTTTACTTGGCACTTGAAATCCTTCGGGACGTCAATGATAAGATTTCTCTCTGACAATTTCTATATATATATATATGCTACTGGTTTTAACGGTATTTTAGTTGATGCATGATTTTCTCTAAAACGTTATTAATCTCCTATTAATTAATATCTTATTTATATAATATATATTTTAAATAAATATTTACTAGAACCAATTAATAGTCAAATAACCGATTATTTGAATACAATAATTTTTTTTTTTTCACAAACGAACTGCAAAATAAACCTAGCGGCGATGTTCTTAACTATA